CACTTTTACTGGTTTAATAGATCAAGCAGACTATTACATGATTTGCATTTGCTTGGGTGATTTTTCTAGAGCAGGGTCTCCAGACCAGACTCAATATGTTCAATTCTGCACAAAGAATAGGAAAAATATGGTACAATATAAAATCACATCAAACAAAAATAATAACTAAAACTGCCCATGCAACAAACACAAGAATAGCAACAAGGCTCTACTTTGTTTTCAAAGAGCTCTTGCATCAGAAACCTGCTCAACAGTAATGGCCAAGTGCTATAATAATTTTAAGCATAATTACAAAGAAAATACTCACTCACCCCTCAGAAGATAAAAAGCATATTATACAGTGACAGACATCAAATATTGCAAAATATTACACTACATTTTAAACTAAAAAATAAAAAGCAAAACAAGCATACACGGATCACAAGATGGGAGAAGATTCCAATAACCTCCATCAAGTTCGCCTTTGAGAGCAAGTGTAATCTTCTCATTTCTTTGCATAAGACGATCAAATGCTTGAATGACTTTTGCTACAGCTCTTTTTGATACTTGAACACGATTTGCCAACTTTTCATCTAATTCTTCCTTGTCCCATGTGGACAGCTGCATCAAGAATGATGTTGTTGCTTCATTTTCATCTGCAAACAGAGATCGCACTAACATCAGCACAAGATTCATAAACATTTGTCAAAATTACAACCGCACTTCTTATAAAATGTTACATTAACTGTAACGAAAGACATACATAAGAAATAAGATGGAGTTGAAGGTAATAGTAAAATTATTTTACCCTCAAAAACAAATGGCATATATTTTAATATATAGAAAATCACCCGGTTAACAAATTCATATAGCACTTTAAATAATGGTCCTCCACCCATAACATATGATTTTTACCTCTTTGTGCACATGATGGATTAGCTAAAGAGCCTGTCACACCAAGGAAAAAGCTAGAGGTTCAAGTGATTCAAAGAATGAATTTTAGAAGAACATAAACTGTGACTTCAAGAAATGTTTTATATAACTGTACAAACACTGGCAAAATTTTGTAGGAGTATTTGAAGGCAACTGCATTTAAGGACTTGACAGTGATGCTAGATTTAAGATATAGCTCCTGTTACAGTTTTTTTAAGGTGCTATGCAGTAACAGCAACCAAAGGTTTATGAAAATCTACAAATGAAACTTTTGAAACATACTTCGGTTCTCAGATTCATCTGCTGTTTCAGCATCAAATCGTTGTAAGAGGACTCGTATGTCTTCATTTAGCTGATTCCAATAACGATTTACAACATTAAGAACAGCGTCATCTTGGGTCTGTCGTTTCTCCAATTGTTCAATACGTTGACGAAGTTCAGCTTCCAGACGGTGTCGCTGCTCCAGGCGCTAAAGAATATGAGAATATAATATAAGAAAAGCCAATGATGTATTACTTTCTTGTATGTTGTACCTCTTAACAAATAAAGTAAATTATTCCCATTACATGATACTAGAAAGCATGGGTAATTATTTTTCAGCCTTACGATTGTTTCATAATAATGGTGCATTGTAAACACTTTTTATCATATGTAGACATGAGATTTAATCCCCATATTATGGGGCAGCCAGCAGGACTTTAGCTTCAGGTTTAGTAGTATGTTAGTGTGATGCATGGCAAGATGGACCACACATAAACTACATCACATAGACAATAAAGGTTAAAGCACTATGATTTAAAACCAGGGCTGTGGAGTCAGAAGCAATTTTAGGTGGAGTCAGAGTCGGTAAAAATGTACCGACTCCAACCCCATTATAAAATCTTAAGAAAATACTATTTTAACACTTTCACTACCGTGTGAGCCGCCAGCGGCCTCACGCTTAGGGAGATTCAATGATGTGTTGAACCACATGGTGTGGAAATAATGCTTTGTACCTCTTCCTCTGGTACCTTAAGAATACAAACTGTCTACAAATCAACCAATTTCTGCAATAACAATTAGATTTATATTTAAATATATGTTATAAGTCTGAAAAGTAGCCTGATGATTCATGTGGTGGCAATGAAATCTCTTATGGTACCATTTACCATTTCAGTAGGTTTACCATTATTAACACAATGAGCTTTTATTCTAAATATTTCCTTCATACATGCTTTACAATTGCGTAAAATTTGATTAAGACATTGCTTATTTAACTTGAATTAGTTACGCTTAAGATGGGTCTGTGATAGATGAATGTAATGTAAAGTAATGTACTGTAATGTAATGTAACGTTTCCTAGGTAACAACAATGCTGAGTAAACAGATGACTTTTCCTAGGTAAAAATAATGCTGAGTAAACAGATGACGTTTCCTAGGTAACAACAATGCCGAGTAAACACGACGTTCCCTAGGTAACCATTGTTATCGGATCTTACACTTTTTCGTTTCCCTTTTTCGTTACACTTTTTTGCTGAATGACCCTTCCTTATAGACGTATTTATGTCAAAAAACATGACCTGAATGAGGAGTCACATAACAGTTCAACAAGACCATCACCCTGATGACGGAAGCAGCAAGGAACTCCGAAACGTTGGTAAACTTCTGACTACACTGCACTATAACCCAAAAGACAGCCATCTTAAGACCATTTTCATTGCCTGCAGTTAATTCTTTCCAGTACATTAAATATATCACTAAGCAACTTAATATTGGCATCAGAAAGATAAAAATAATACTTGAAACTATTCTTCAAAGTCTACATTGGTTGAATGACAATGTTTGTTATTCATTAAGAGAGGCTGCCATAGATGCTGTAAGAAAATCACATGTATTGGAAATGATTCAAATGCACCATTTCGTAGACATTCTGACCCGAAGTCTAATATCATTATTACAGCATCCCCTTTGCCTTCAATTCTGAAAAGGATCAGAGCACTTCCACATGCATTCAAGTTTAGACCATTAAAATATGTAAAAATATCAGACAAATATGCCACTACACCCAGCTATAGAAAATCTTCAGAACACTTAATTCCTTGAAATGTTTCACCAGTAAGAAACATTTGTATTTATCACACAAATTATCAGGTAGGCACTTTTCTGTAAGACAGCTAACATACTTGAGAATTAACAGTAGCTTGTTCATGTGCACTGCCCATCTCCTCACAAAGGACATTAAAAATACATCATAACAATTTTCATTCCATAAGCCAGTGAAGTCTTCAATAATTATGACATCTTTCTTGCTGCCAATGATTCTCTATGTATGCACCAATGAGTCCATCTACATTTTTATACAATAGCTTTAATATGTGCAATAAACCACTGTATTTTCCTGACACTGCTGTAGCACCATCTGTAGCAACATCAACACATTTGCCACTCAATTTTATTTCCTATTAAGGAATTATGCAAACTATTACAGCCTCACCAGTATCATGTGTCTACAATGATTAACGGAATTTAAAAAAAATTCTCTCTCGATGCTCAACAATATTGTTTTTTTTTTCTTCACACTGTTCTGCCAGGGTTGCTTAGAGATGTGACCCAACGGGTATGACAGATGTTATGGTTCCAGCACAAGACCCTCACCACACTATGGGAAAAATATCTGGGAGTGGTTAGATACAATGTACTCCACAGAGGTAGACTGGGTGTGCAGGGTAAACTGCATAACCTCACTCTAAAAGATTTCTTCCTATTAGGGGCTCTTAAAGGAACATGGATATGCAGTTCTACCCATGCGCAAGTTTAATTAACTTTAAGATCTTGTAGCAGGACTTTGCAAAACTATTATGAGGGTTACTCCAAAAGTAATGCACCATATTTAAAAAAGTCCCCTTTTATTCTACCATGTTGCTATTCACAAAGAACATAGATACATTCATCCCGCTTCTATTAAAACTTAGTCCATCCTTCTCCTGCAAGTGGCACATGTGTATCATTCGTTAAACACGGCTGCTGTCCTTGACGTTCGTCAGGAACAACAAGCTGTTATCGAGTTCCTGGTGTGTGAGAACGAGACGTGGGAAACAGTGGGATTGCAGGTGTACAGTGAGGATACTGTCGATTACAGCACAGTTAGCTGCTGGGTACAAAGAACATCAGGCAAAGGTGGACATGCAAACATTCGCAATTAGCTGCACAACGGCAGACCACAGTCAGTGCGGACAGAAGCCAATGTTGACAGGGTGAACAACATGATCATGTTACTCCGACTGGACATTGCAGAAGCCAATGTGTGCAGAATATTGGAACAGTTGGGATTTTAGAAGGTCTGTGCAAGGTGGTCCCGTGGCAACTGACAGACTCATGTCAGTCTGAGAACCACAGAGGCAATCACAAACTTGAGGAAAGTGTTGCCACACCCACCATACAGTCCTTATCTGGCACCATGAGATTATCACCTGTTCGGTAAACTGAAAGACAGCATGTGTGGGACAAAGTTTGGGGATGATGACTCCCTTGCGACATCTGTGAAAAAGTGGCTCAAAAGCGCTGATCCTGAGTTTTATAATGCGGGCATACATGCCCTTGCTCAAAGGTAGCGTAAGGCAGTGGAGAGATGGAGGCCACGCTGAAAAGTAGCATTTTGTTCCTAAAGGCTATACCTATCCACTGTGTGAATAGCAAAGTTGCAACATAAAAATTGAATTCTTTTAAAAATATATGGTGCATTACTTTTGGAGTGACCCTAGTACAACTGTGAATGTCAGCATGTGGCATGTATAGGAAAACACCATGCGACACACTACTGTTTGCATCAAAATACATGGCTTTCATTTGAAACATGTACTGCACAAGTAATAGGCACACTGTCAGAAAGACTGAATGCATAAATTTAGTTACTTCATTCTCTATGTTGTTTCTCATTACCTTGTCTGCGTGAAATCCTTTGCAATCTTGTGCCATTTGACGGTAATAGTATGTCAAAAACTAAACATCAGATATTTGTTGTTCAACATTTACTGCATATTTTTGTACAAGGAATGACACTATGATGAGCTTGTGTACAAATGTTTCCACCTAGTACAGTAATTCCAAACATGCAAGACATTATGAACCAGGTTAGTTTTCTACTTACTTGAGCTAATTTTTTATTTTGAAACTGAAGAACTTTCATGTCCATCTCTTCTAAAGTTGATATTGGTCCAATTCGTATGGGTTCAAATTGTACTTTCTTGATGGGTGGTTGTCCACTTGTGTTGGCATCTCCTTCCGCTGGTCGTTTTGCCATGGTGATTATGTTAAAATATTTTAATCTGCAATGCAATATATGAAGTGTTACCATAACAAGTCCCAAAGTAGAGACACACAAAACTTTAATCATATTTTTGTAAGGACTCGGAACTTAAACCTAAACCCAACACTGGTTTACACATGACAGGAAAAACAAACCTAATATATAGTGATCTAGTAACTTCATGTCAGTACTTCAGTATCTTATTCCTGAAGTCATTCCAATCAGAAATGTCATATAAACATAGGTCAAATTCTCAACAGTTACATGGCTACAGATGCTTAAAATTCACGATATGAACTTTACATAGAACACCAGGGTCATTTATGTGTCCTAAACAACACAAAACATGACTACAGATGTACTCCCAATGTGACCAAGCACCCAACATTTCAGTCTGCCATAAAACTTGATATATGACATGCATAATATATACAAAATTTAATTATCTTCTAGACCAATAATCACTTAATCATGTTAGATGAGTATGTCTAATGCACATACATAGTTCTAAGTAGGTAGCAGAGTGTCTGACTTTCCAACAACTCAGACTATACATTCCAAATGAATCTCAGTGGTTACAGAGTTATGCATATTTAAAATTGAATATGTGTGCTTCTTGCAGCATCAGAATTTTTATGGTGTAGGTTGTTCATCCTGTTTACTTTGTGTTCATACACCACATGTTTCATGAAAATGTAGAGGCATGAGATCCGTTGACTGCAATGGCCAATTTAACAGACCACCACTACCAACCAACCCATTGGTCAAGGACAGTTTCATTCATGTACTCCCATATGTGAAACAAAAATTCATACTAAATAAATAGTTTAATTAAGATAAACAAAAAATTCTGTGACATAATCCTTTCAGTTTTACAGCAACTGGATTCAAACACATAGAGTTATTAAGATATAAACACTTTTAATATCTCCATTGTGTAGAACTCTCCCCCCATCCAAATCACCATTGTAACTCATTTTCTTAGAATAAATTTCAAAATTAATGTTCCTAGGACTTCAAAAACCAATATAAATTGCAGAGGATAAATAAAAGTAAAATAATGATTTTCCTTCTATACAGTGAGTTCTAAATTAATTATCATTACTATAAACACACTGTTAAAAGGTATGATACAAAATGTACATACAGATCCAAAAGCCAACAAAGACATCACAAATACCAATCATTGAAAGCATGAACAGATTACAAGCACCACATATTTTATTCACGCAGCAGAAGAATAGTAAAGGAAGAAAAATATATCACCAGCAATGTTGCATACCTAGCCAATTCAATATTTTCACTATGCAATGGTCTGTGCTTTTGTTTTGACTGTTACATACTCTTAACATTTTAATTCATGCATTTGTACAACACCAAAACTGAAGAGTAATATCTTCAAATAAATATAACAATTTAAAATTCCAGAGCCAGCTGACAATAATTAGATGGCTGACATTCAAACACTGATAGTTTTCAGTGTTTGAATTATAATTACAAAAACCTTCCCTTCAGAGCACAATTTAACCACACTTTCTCTCTCCTCCACTTCCTACAGCATTTCAATCGTGCCACACATTTAATTCATTGTGCCCCATACACCTTGTCACAATGTAAGTGAACAGATATAACAAGAATTATTAAACATAATATTCAGTTAGTGTTCACACTGCCTAACATCACATATCTCCTGTTGAAACCCATAAGATGGGGGCAGGAAGTTCCTCCAAAATCCTCGCATCTGCAAGTCCAGTGTTATGACCCACAAGACCAACATCAATATCTTCAACACCATATGAACCTCAAGTCTCATTTGCCCTACAAGAACCTAATACTGCATATTAACTGGTACTATTCACACATATGCAGA